ATAAGCTACAGGTTAAGAATCAGCGAATGCTTGCTGGAAGATCGACTTCCGTAAACCCGACCGTACTCCAAGATTCACACTTTAACGCTACGAATAAACGAAATCTTGTTGAGAAAGCTGCAAATGAACGAAATCTGATTGAGATTAAGTCGCAAATCTTGCCCGGAGATTCTAACTCACAAAAACATTACGAAATACGTAAAAATGAGTCAAATGCTTATGCAAGGAGTCCTTACTTTATCGGAAAATCTCCAAAGAGATCGAAAAGTCATCGAAATTTTCGATGGATTTTGCCAGGAGTTGACGGTGTAGATTCTAACGTGAAATCATTGAATTCGGTTTCGAATTTCCGATGGATCACCCCGGGAAAGCAATTGTCGACACCGAACATTGTGGTCAGGCCGAATTTCTCCAAGAATTCTCCATTGAAAATCCGAATTTATACGGTTATCGACAAAATTGATTAAATATTTATTTATATTTATAATTTATTCGTTTCATAATAAAATAGATAGCATAGCATTATAAAATTATCTCTTTAATAAACAAAAAGTTTTTTTGATAAAATACAATGTACTTAGTAAAGTTTTTGTTTTTATTTTCTATAATCGACATTATCTCTTGGAGGATCGCGATCGAATCGGGGGAACCATCTGAAAAAGGATTTGCTATTGATTTGGTTTTGATTTTCTTTTGATTTGCGTTTGATTTGCGTTTGATTTGCTTCTAAAATCTAGACCCTATTGAACGCTTTTTTCACTGCCTTCAAATGTGCGCTTGTGGTATTGTGGATACCACAAGGGGTGGTTCTTGTTTCCAAAACAGTAGACCGAGATTTCGCTCGGGTTCCATCCTTTTCTGTTCATTTTATTTTGATGTTTAACCGCTTGAAATCGCTCGATTTTAACTTTACAACAACTATTATGACATCTTTTATAGTTATTATGACGTCTACTATGACACCTTGATAGCAAACAAAATAACACAAAATTAGCACACGTTTTTCTTGGAACATTGGAATCAGCGTAAAATTCTGCGTCATATGACTCATTTTATCTGTCCACCTCAGCCTTGTGGCCTTCCCTTACGAAGCGTATGAAAGGTATCTTTTGTTGGCATTGATATTCACGATTTCAAGATACTGTAATGAGCCAGGGAATGAGTATCCGATAGTGTAAAAGCCGACTTGTTCTCGCGGCGATCGAATCGAATCGTCCATTCCTGCCAGTCATGTTGCCCGTCGTCTTTCATCTGTCCTAGTGCTTTCATTCGAATAAATGGATAATAACCAGCTTCTTTTTTCTAAAATTTTTTATAAATTCCTTTAACTTTCGAAAAACAATTGGCTTACACAAGTCCAGGCATCTAAAATGCCGAGTGCTTTACTGAAATCGAGATCAACGGTGGCAGAGGTCTTGCTTGAAATCTCGAAGGCTTGCTGAAAAAAAGCGATTAACGTTTTGTTGAAAATGTTTACTCGATAAGGTTTTCGATCTTCTTTGATCTCCATCGTCGGCGCGTAGAAACGAATGCCGAACGGGGAATAGTAAAGAATGAAGATACACATTGTGCCCAAAGAGTGATTTGTGAGCGTACAAGAAACACGGCCGTCGTCCCGGATTCCGTGACGTTTTGCTTCATAGGAAACTAAAAATTTGGCAATGCTTACCATTAAAAGTTGACTTTGTACAAGAGTTTAAAAATAAAACCTTACACTCGACTTGTATATGTCGAAGGCTTCGATTTCGATTCTCGAAAACAAACTGCGGTCCGGTGTAAATGCCTTGAATTCGTTTCTCAGCCACCTCATCATCGACAGTAATGCCTAAAATCTAGATGCTTTTGTTCTGCTTTCGTTGCGTAAAAACTCTTGACGATCACTTTAGCTTGATCTTTAGCTACATTAGCCTGATCAATTTGCATTTGACAAAGTCACAAGTTCGTAATTCTACATACACTGCTCCACAAAATGATATGGACACTTACTTTTTTTACCAATTTTATGCTCTTAAGAAACGATAGTGAAAAAAGTTGTTTTATAGTATTTTCCTTATTAGATTTGCTATTGAAGCACGCTAGATATACTACCATAGTTGGAAATATGAATGTTTAAAAATCGAATTTTGTAAAACAGCCCTTTGGCGCTTTCCACATAATGATATGGACACTTTGTTTTTCGTCCTTTTTTTCTTTTTTTTCAGATAATTTAGCTCTTTTTGCTCAAAAATCATTTCTTTAAGGTACTCTGAAAAAATGCCAGGAGGACCACCGCTGTCTGAAAGGGAAACTCGAATCATAGAGGCAATGAATCGCGAAGGACACTCAAATCGAGCAATAGGACGATTTCTGAACCGAACACCAACGTTAACCGGATCCTATCTGTCTGATCCTCTACAATACGCAACAAAAAAGTCGACTGCTCGAAAACCTTTCGTTTCTGAGCGAGATATGAGACACATTTGCGGAGAAGCATCCAACTCTACGCCTTCCTGCTCAGATATCAAGGCGAATCTCAAGCTCAAAGTGTCAAGCGAAACAGTCCGTCGAGTGCTAAAGAAAAGCGATTTTATTGTGCGAAGGAAGATGCGTAAAGCACCGTTTATGACGCAAGATCATTGCAAGAAAAGACTAGAATTCGCCGACAAAAACAGAAAAATTGACTGGAGTAAGGTGGGTGTGATTACTTGGCTGATGGAAAGTTATTATTATGTTTAGGTCGTGTGGTCGGGTGAGAAGAAATTTAACTGTGATGGGCCTGATAGAAACCGCAGTTATTGGCATGATTTAAGAAAGGAAATGATTAGCTTTTCGCGACAAAACTTCAAAGGAGGTGGTGTGATGGTATGGGTAGCAATTGCTTCATCTGGCCGAATAAAACTGGCATTTGTCCTAAAGCGTATGAATTCAGCCCATTATCAATTTATCTTGCGGCAATCACCTCTTCTGTTTTGGCGTCGGAATCAAGGCCAAAATCACATTTTCGTTCAGGACAATGCTCCAATACATGCAAGCCAAAGCACTAAAAGATGGCTATAACGGAAGCAAGTTCGTCTCCTCGACTGGCCTATCAATTCTCCCGACTTGAATGTGCAAGAAAGTGTATGGTTCATGGTACGTCACATTTACGCAGGAAACAAGACTTATAAAGACGTGCCTTCTCTGAAATCTGTAATAATTGATGCCTAGAGAAAAGTAGACCAAAATCTGATCGATAAACTTGTGGCCAGCATGGATAATCGAATTTTTGAATTGATTCGAAACAATGGAGGTCCTATTGATTATTAAATGTTGTTGTTCTTTTTTAAAATCATTTTTTTGTTACTAAATAAAAAATTTTATGTAGTGTCCATATCATTATGTGGAAAGCGCCAAAGGGCATTTTTTACAAAATTCAATTTTTAAACATTCATATTCCAAACTATGGTAGTATATCTAACGTGCTTCAATAGCAAATCTAATAAGGAAAATACTATAAAACAACTTTTTTCACTATCGTTTCTTAAGAGCATAAAATTTGAAAAAAGTAAGTGTCCATATCATTTTGTGGAGCAGTGTATTTCAAAAATTCAGCTCTTTTCGTTCCGAACAACGTGGTCCTCCTCGAGGTCCGATCGATCGACCAAGACCTTCACCGATTCAGTCCAAAATCTAGCCTGTACCCCCGGCCAAACCGGACCCAGTGTTTGCTGAGACTAGGCTAACCTCGCTTGATCCAATTGTGTTTGTCAGTACTGCTGGAATGAGTGAGTTCAGTTCTATAACTGAACTGATGTTTAGGTCTAGATCTAAGCTAAACCTGGACCTGAACAGGTTCTGGAGACACATGCTAAAGATAAGCTTGCTAAAGACACATGCTAACGATAAGACCAGGAGCTCTGGCAATGGGCACAGGCTAGTTTTAGCGAAAAAGCCTCGTATTGTTAGCGCTAATTCCCCACTGATAAGCCTAACAAGGGAAAGGCACCAGGTCAAGGTGGCCTTTCAAAAAGAGACCTAGTGTACCAGATAAAACTTTTTACGCTGATTCCGATCCGATTTTAGTTTTTCCAGTGCCGCCCTGTAACGTGAGATATTTGGCTTACCAAAATTGACCCGGATTCGCCTATGTTTAAAAGTTTTCTTTATCGTCCCGCGAATTTGAACTCATGGCGCAGTGGATAGTGGACTAGCGACAGTGCATATCCTCACGATTTTTTTAACCTTGGGTTCAAATTCCCATACTGACAATTTTTTAGTTTTTGCGAAAGAAGACATTATGAACACTACAATAGGCTTTTAAACATAGGCGGCTCGGGGTCAGTTTTGTATGCCAAATATCTCGCGTTACAGTGCCCCACTGGAAAAACTAAAACCGGATTTGGAATCAGCGTAGAAACTTCTATCTGGTACACTAGGTCTCGTTTTGAAAGGCCACCTTGACCTAGTGCCTTTCCTTCGTAAGCTTTAACGAGATAACAAAAAGATTTATAAATTTTACCCGAGCGGTGACTAGTTAAAGAGAGATCTCTGAATTGAACACTCGGTCGGCGTCGAGATCGAGAGCGATTTCTTGTCACTGGGCGCGAGCGACGATCAATGTTCTCCTCCACCGGCACAGAGTAGCCATCCCTTTTCAATATCCTAGATAGATCTCAATATCAATTTTAATATTTAATATTCTAGATGGGTGTTATTTGCGGAAAACTTTTATCCAAAAGCTTCTACAGTGCACTACTATAGTGTAAAAGCTACAGTACCGGACATGGTTTTATTTCAAAGTCTGATTGAAAGTATCCATCACTGTAACCAGCTGAATATTCTTCAAAAACTAAAATTGCTTAGTAGGCAGGGATCGGGTAGAATCGAATTCATAACAGAGCTGATCCAGGACTTTATCAAGGAAACGGATCCGATCAAATGATCAAAAAAGATTATCAGAACAATCCGATCCTATTATTAAAAGAAAGTTTCAAGTCTATTGTTTTATAAATTTTTCGATTAACGGATGATTTCTAAACTCACGGTCTCAAAGGATTTGCCGATTCTGGAGACGACCTGTTCACCAAATCGCAGTCAGCCTCTTCATAGGGTGGCGGTGGGATGTAGTCATCTTCAAGTACAAAACTTTTTTCTCAAGTATTTTGAAGCTATCAACTTGTTTCATTCTTTAATTTCCTCACCTGGTATCAATTCCACCGAGCTCCCATTCATCTCTTCGAATGACGCTGATGACATGGTTCGATTAACGTTTTGATTGCTAGTTATCTAAAATCATAGATAATCACTGATTGGATGTAGGTGGGATTACGGTAGCTTGACCTGGATTGGGGAATTAGCTGATAAAAATCTATGGAGTACGGTAGCTGATCGTGAAAAGATTGCTGCAGTATGGTAACCACCTACACTACAGGATTACAGTAGTTAAAGACAAGAGCTTGCTCGGGATTACGGTAGTTTAATCTGGACTAATAGTAGAGGATCATGGTAACTGGCGCAGAAGATGACGAGCATGATTGGACTACGGTAGGCTACGAGATTACGGTGGCTGGTGTTGAAAATCTGAGCCACTCATCTACAAAATGGCGAGATTATGGTGCTTGATCTGAATCTTCTACAACAGCGCAGGAACTATTTCCAATTCAGTAACAAACCCACCTCTTGTTTCAATTTCTTCTCGATCTTCTTCAATAGCTCTTTCACTTGCTGAACCTCTTCATCGACATCCAATGTTCTCTCGAGTAAATTCATCGCATATTCGATGTTTCCCGTTTTCCCATAAATCTCATCCCACATCTCTTTGTTGCGTGCACGAATTAACTAAAATTTTGCATGAAAATTGCACCAAATCATTGACAAACATTGACTTTATCGTTGAGTTTCTTTCCAAACTCGTAAAGCTCTTCACGTATCTCGGGCAACTCGTCGCAGGTGATCTGCTCGACTTTTCGATCGAAAGCATCACCCTGAAACAATTTAAAGCAATTAAAACATAACATAAAACCTTCTTGTTCATTATTCGGAATTTTCAAATAATTAAACTTTAAAACGCAACACAATTTTGTCAGAGAACGCTTAAATTTTTGGGGGAGCCCTTATTATATTCTTTTTTTTCAGTACTTGGGACATTTGCACATGTTTTTTTTCTTGAAAGTAATCTAAAGAATAGATTTGTTAATGTTAATTCTGAGTTTTTTTGATAAAAAGGTTTTAAAATGATTTTTATTTAGCTAAATTTTAGTTAACAAGACAAAGATTCTCGTTGAATCGAATTCATAAGACAAACCATTGTTTTCGCCGCCTCATGATGCTGAATGCAAATCTTGTGCTGTGCTTTCTTCTCACAACTCTTGCACACGAGCAATTCTTTAAGCTAAAGCACTTTTAGTAAATGTAAACAATGATACAGTATACTTTGATGTGCAATGATACATTGTACTTTCATGTACAATACAGTGTACTTTCATGTACAATGATACATTGTACTTTCATGTACAATCATACAGTGTACTAATCCGAAAAAAAACATCAATAGATGAAAAGTGAAGGTGAAACTTTTTCATGCTCAAATTCTACTTTTTCATAAATTCTACAAAAATCTAACATTAAAGCGATGAAACCCGATTTTCCCTTGCACACCTATTGACATTTTTTTTCGGTTTTTAAGACTAAATGCTAAAGAAATAACAATACTTTTTGAAAACTTTGCTTCTTGTTTTGATGACAGACGGAAAGCGAAGCGAATTTCGACTCTTGCCCGCATTCCGAGCATTTGAAAGGCATCCTTTTAATTAAAATTATTTAAGTTTAAGTTAAAGAAAAAGAAATTAAATCATTTTCAGTTTTCAAATTGTTCTAGAATTTTTGAAAAGAAGAACTTTTGGCTGGCTGTAAAATGTGACAGATCTTAGGCGACGAAATGAAAAAGTGTTATCAGTTTTGTGTTGCACTTTCGACTCTTTTATTTGGCCCTGTGAGATGCAAGAAAAGAAAAAAGTATTTGTAAAATAAAAAAGAAAAGATTGCGAAATACTATAATGCATCAGAAACTAGAGTTTAACAAACTTTTCTTATGTTTTTTTTCTTATGAGCAAAGAATGCTCTTTGCAATTTAAAGGGCTAAATGCATTCCTACTGTCCAATTGAAAAAAATTTGTGAATAGAAAAAAGAAAAGTTTGTTAAACTTTAGTTTCTGAGGCATTATAAGGTGCGTTGCAAAATGAAAGGACCACCCCTAAATTTTGCATTTTTTGGCTATGAAATTTAGTAAAGCGAAATAGCTTTTAAATCTTAAAAATATATACAAAAATAGGCATCTATACCATTTTTAACATTATCTAAACAAATTGCAACAAGATTATAACATTTTCTTTATTTAACACCTGTTGCGAAATGATAGGACCACATAAAAAATAACAATAAATTTGAGAATCAACAAAAGAAAAACGAATGAAAAGTTCATTAATAATCAATAGATGCTCCCTTTTTCTCGATGACGTCGAGTAGTCGACTTTTCATCGAGTTCACTAAGTTTTGAGGCGTTTATGCTGGAATTGACGTCCAAGCTTGCAAAATTGCTTTTTTGAGTTGCGAAATCGTGTCGTAAGTCTTTCCATTAGCATAAATATTCCTCACAAGGATGCCCCATAAGTTTTCCATTGAGTTTAAGTCCGGTGAGCAGGCAGACCATTCGAGAAAATCGATGTTGTGACGTTGCAGAAAAGCTTTAGTGGATTGGCTGACATGAATTGAAGCATTATCCTATTGAAAAATATAGTGTTTCCCTCGATTTTGTGCTAGGAAAGGAAGTAGTTGATCCGCAAGGACATTCTGGTAATTGTTCGAGTTCATGCGACAAGTCACAAATTCTAAATCAAGAACGTCATCCACATTGAAAGCACCCATATGATCAGTGATCCTCCTCCGAAGTTTCGACGCCCACAAAGCATTGGATCTTTTCTCAAATCGTGCCAATAGTACTAGTTGCCGTCGGAACCATCCAAATTAAATTTTTTCTCATCGCTGAAGATGACCTACAAAGAAAAAAAATAGTTAACAACTCAAGGTAAAAAGCTTACTTTTTTCCAATCGATGGGGATGTGATCCCGAGCCCAAGACATCCTTTTTTCTTTGTGTGCCGGCTTCAGTTTTGGTGCTTTCTTCATGCTCTTTTGATGTAACGGATGTAACACTTGATGGCTCGAGAAAGAGTGCTTTTGTGGACGGGAGCTCCAATTTGTACCTTGACCTCCTGTAGCGACATCACCGAATTCGAAAACAGACGTCCCATATGCCGTTCAGCGCGAACCGTGAGCTTTCGATGACATCCCGGAGACTTCTTCTTGCCATAATTAAAAGGATCTTTCAAGAAATTTGCGACAACTTGGTGCGAGCGCTTCATTTTCTTTGCGAGCTTCCGATTCTACAATTTTATTCCTTTCAAAAAACACAATTTTCATCTGTTCAATCCCCGAAAGCGATTTTCCACGCCCCATCTTTCTAAAAAATAAAAATTAGCAAAAAGTAAGCAAAAAACATGGTTATTACAGGTAGAAAATCAAAAAGAAACGTAGTGATCCTATCATTTTGCAACAGGTGCAAAATAAATAAATGCTTAAAGAATTTTCCCTTTTAAAGTAAATTATTTGGCAAACGGGGCGTACTTTTGTAGATAAAATTCAAATTTAAGCATCATTTCGCATTTTTAGTTATTTAAAATCAAAAATCGCAAAAATCGAGAGTGGTCCTATCATTTTGCAACGCACTGTAGTATTTCGCAATTTTTTCTTTTTTATTTTACAAATACTTTTTTTCTTTTCTTGCATCTCACAGGGCCAAATAAAAGAGTCGAAAGTGCAACACAAAACTGATAACACTTTTTCATTTCGTCGCCTAAGATCTGTCACATTTTACAGCCAGCCAAAAGTTCTTCTTTTCAAAAATTCTAAAACAATTTGAAAACTGAAAATGATTTAATTTCTTTTTCTTTAACTTAAACTTAAATAATTTTAATTGAAAGGATGCCTTTCAAATGCTCGGAATGCGGGCAAGAGTCGAAATTCGCTTCGCTTTCCGTCTGTCACCAAAACAAGAAGCAAAGTTTTCAAAAAGTATTTTCATTTCTTTAGCATTTAGTCTTAAAAAGTGACAAGAAATCGCTCTCGATCTCGACGCCGACTGAGTGTTCAATTCAGAGATCTCTCTTTAACTAGTCACCGCTCGGGTAAAATTTATAAATCTTTTTGTTATCTCGTTAAAGCTTACGAGGGAAAGGCACCAGATCAAGGTGGCCTTTCAAAACGAGACCTAGTGTACCAGATAGAAGTTTCTACGCTGATTCCAAATCCGGTTTTAGTTTTTCCAGTGGGGCACTGTAACGCGAGATACATTGGCATAAAAAAACTGACCACCCCGATTCGCCTATGTTTAAAAGCCTATTGTAATGTCCATAATGTCTTCTTTCGCAAAAACTAAAAAAATTGTCAGTGTGGGAATTTGAACCCGAGGTAAAGAACCGTGAGGACATCCACTATCGGCAGCTCACTATCCACTGCGCCACGAGCTCACATTAAAGATAGGACGATAAAGCAAGGTTTTAAACATAGGCGAATCCGGGTCAATTTTGGTAAGCCAAATATCTCACGTTACAGGGCGGCACGGGAAAAACTTAAATACGGATCGGAATCAGCGTAAAAAGTTCTATCTGGTACACTAGGTCTCTTTTTGAAAGGCCACCTTGACCGGGTGCCTTCCCCTTGTTAGGCTTATCAATGGGGAATTAGCGCTAACTATACGAGGCTTTTTCGCTAGAACTAGCCTGTGCCCATTGCCAGAGCTCCTGGCCTTATCGTTAGCTCGTTAGCATGTGTCTTTAGCAAGCTTATCTTTAGCATGTGTCTCCAGAACCTGTTCATCAGTTCAGTAAACATCAGTTCAGTGATAGAACTGAACTCACTCATTCCAGCAGTACTGACAGACACAATTGAATCAGGCGAGGTTAGCCTAGTCTCAGCAAACACTGGTTTCGGTTTGGCCGGGGGTACAGGCTAGATTTTGGACTGAAAGGTCTTGGTAGACCGATCGGACCTCGAGGAGGACCTCGTTGTTCGGATCGAAAAAAGAGCTGAATTTTTGAAATACGTAGAATTACGTACTTGTGACTTGTCAAATGCAAATTGATCAAGCTAATGTAGCTAAAGATCAAGCTAAAGTGGTCGTCAAGAGTTTTTACGCAACGAAAGCAAAACAAAAGCATCCAGCTTTTAGGCATTACTGTCGATGATGACGTGGCCGAGAAACGAATTCAAGGCATTTACACCGGATCGCAGTTTGTTTTCGAGAATCGAAATCGAAGCCTTCGACATATACAAGTCGAGTGTAAGGTTTTATTTTTAAACTCTCGTACAAAAACAACTTTTACTGGTAATCATTGCCAAATTTTTGAGTTTCCTATGAAGCAAAACATCACGGAATCCGGGACGACGGTCGTGTTTCTTTTACGCTCACAAATCACTTTTTGGGCACAATGTGTATCTTCATTGTTTACTATACCCCGCCCGGCTTTTGTTTCTACGCACCGACGATGGAGATCAAAGAAGATCGAAAATTTTATCGAGTAAACATTTTCAACAAAACGTTAATCGCTTTTTTTCAGCAAGCCTTCGAGATTTCAAGCAAGACCTCTGCCACCGTTGATCTCGATTTCAGTATCACACCACCTCCTTTGAAGTTTTGTCGCGAAAAGCTAATCATTTCCTTTCTTAAATCATGCCAATAACTGCGGTTTCTATCAGGCCCATCACAGTTAAATTTCTTCTCACCCGACCACACGACCTAAACATAATAATAACTTTCCATCAGCCAAGTAATCACACCCACCTTACTCCAGTCAATTTTTCTGTTTTTGTCGGCGAATTCTAGTCTTTTCTTGCAATGATCTTGCGTCATAAACGATGCTTTACGCATCTTCCTTCGCACAATAAAATCGCTTTTCTTTAGCACTCGACGGACTGTTTCGCTTGACACTTTGAGCTTGAGATTCGCCTTGATATCTGAGCAGGAAGGCGTAGAGTTGGATGCTTCTCCGCAAATGTGTCTCATATCTCGCTCAGAAACGAAAGGTTTTCGAGCAGTCGACTTTTTTGTTGCGTATTGTAGAGGATCAGACAGATAGGATCCGGTTAACGTTGGTGTTCGGTTCAGAAATCGTCCTATTGCTCGATTTGAGTGTCCTTCGCGATTCATTGCCTCTATGATTCCAGTTTCCTTTTCAGACAGCGGTGGTCCCCCTGGCATTTTTTCAGAGTACCTTAAAGAAATGATTTTTGAGCAAAAAGAGCTAAATTATCTGAAAAAAAAAAAAAAAAGGGCGAAAAACAAAGTGTCCATATCATTATGTGGAAAGCGCCAAAGGGCATTTTTTACAAAATTCAATTTTTAAACATTCATATTCCAAACTATGGTAGTATATCTAACGTGCTTCAATAGCAAATCTAATAAGGAAAATACTATAAAACAACTTTTTTCACTATCGTTTCTTAAGAGCATAAAATTGGTAAAAAAGTAAGTGTCCATATCATTTTGTGGAGCAGTGTATGTAGAATTACGAACTTGTGACTTTGTCAAATGCAAATTGATCAGGCTAATGTAGCTAAAGATCAAGCTAAAGTGATCGTCAAGAGTTTTTACGCAACGAAAGCAGAACAAAAGCATCTAGATTTTAGGCATTACTGTCGATGATGAGGTGGCTGAGAAACGAATTCAAGGCATTTACACCGGACCG